CAAGTCTACCTCAGAATTTAAAAAAAATAAATGCATCATAATGGGCGTGGAGCAATGCAAGCAGAGGGAGGAGTGGGCGTGGCTAGCACAGCATGGGAGAAAGAGGGGAGAGAACAACTGTTGTCAGTTGGCTCAAAAAATGAGACACAAACCGTGAGTCGCTGCATGATTTTATAGTTTACAAAGTTAAAATGCAACGAAATAAACAGTAATTTAAAGTCCTGCTACATTTGTTATTCGTATTTCATATACGGAAAACCACAATTTATATTATAATAAAGATAATCATGTTCATATAAACACTATAAACAAGGAGGACTGCTCTCCTCCTCAATCTCCGGGTCTGAATGCTGAACGCTCTATTTCAACCATTCCTTGTCTATTTCAACCATTAGCCCAGCCTGGAGGACTTTTATCTACTCTGAAGGATTTTAAACATGTGTGACATGGCAGCACGGATGGGTGATCTGTCTAAATGTGAACGAACTCAACTGATAAAAGACAAAGTTTGCCATTCTCCAATTCTCACACTACTCTCCCAACAAAAATGCTTGCTGCACACAAACAGTTTTACTCTATAGGCCCTGACAGCATCTTGGTGAAAAACATGCAACAAACCCCATGGATCATGGAAACAAACGCATACGACCCTTCATGAATGTCTAAATGCTGCGTGTTGTATGCTGAGTCCATGGACGGGGTCTCACCCAGCATAGGGCAGTGATCACCAATTTCTCTCCTGGAGGTCCGGTACCCTGCAGGGTCTTGCCTCAACACACCTGCCTGAGTGTTTCAAGTATACCTAGTAAGACCTTGATTAGCTTGTTCAGGTGTGTTTGATTAGGGTTGGAGCTAAAATCAGCAGGACACCGCACCTCCAGGAACAAGTTTGGTGAGCCCTGGCATAGGGTCTCACAGCCTGGCAGGTCAGGTCTGCCTGGTCTTCGAAAAGTATGTGCAGTCATGAATAATTAAGAAGCAGAGTCTACTCATAGGATAAGAAACCTCCGCTATGAATAATAATGAGAAACTGACGCGTCATCACTTCACTAGTAGATTCGTGCTACGTCAGCGATTTTGATCCCGCCCCAAAAATTGGGGGTGTCTTAAACATTTAACATTTAACATTTAAAAAACTTGTAATTACTTGTTTTAAAAGAAAAAATTAAGGCATGACTATATAAGAATTCCATCAATCATTTTCTACAATAAATTTTCCCTGTACACAACTCTTAAACGTGTCATACAACAAAGATTTTTGTGACCAACAGTGGTATGGTAATGTTATTAATAGTGCTATTTTTTATTATAAATCTTTTTTGGAGCCTCGGTCACAGTTAATCACATTTGTATGAGTTTGAAATGTCTTCAGGGTAAACAATCTGTTCCTTTATGATCTAAAAAATGATACAAAGCAAAGTTACCTAATACTTGCTCCTTCGGATTAGATCTCTCAAGAGAAAATTTAAAGACACAAAGATTAAAGACAGAACATACATTCTTTAATACCAATCAGTCTTAATTATATTTCTTTGATTACGTGTAAAAGTAATACTCATAAGAAATGAAATAAATAAGAAGAGCTTGGAGGCACTAGCTATTAACAGCATGAAGTAATTTGTCCACATGCTTCTCTTGTTAAAGTTGTTTCTGTATGCTAATGACTCTGTGCCATTGAAAGTCAGTCATATGTGACAGTGTCATTAATGGCTTCTCAAGTCTCTCATTCACTCTCTGTTTATGGTGGCAGCTTGCTCTTGATTAAAAGACTTTAATAAGACGTACATCTACTGTTCTTCCACCCTTGACTGACTGGGCCATACAAACATTTAAATGAACTTAGTGAGTCTTAAGTTGGTGTTCATTACAACTGCACAGAACTAGATATGTATTGAAAAAATAAGTGCAATAAATTATATATACAGTTGAAGTCAGAATTATTAGCCCCCCTTTGATTTACTTTCTTTTTTTAAATTTTCCCAAATGATGTTTAACAGAGCAAGGACATTTTCACAGTATGTCTGATAATATTTTTTCTTCTAGAAAAAGTCTTACTTGTTTAATTTTGGCTAGAATAAAAGCAGTTTTTTTAATTTATTAAAACAATTTTAGGGACAAAATTATTAACCCCTTTAAGCTATACATTTTTCCAGTTGTCTACAGAACAAACCATTGTTATACAACAACTCTCCTAATTACTCTAACCTGCCTAGTTAACCTAATTAACCTAGTTAAGCCTTTAAATGTCACTTTAAGCTGTATAGAAGTGTCTTGAAAATATTTAGTAAAATATTATTTACTGTCATCATGGCAAAGATAACATAAATCAGTTATTAGAAATGAGTTATTAAAACTATTATGTTTAGAAATGTGTTGAAAAAATATTATCTCAGTTAAACAGAAACTGGGAGAAAATAAACAAACAGGGGGCTTGTTTTTTATTATTATATTATTTCTATGACATTATACATTTACACTTTAATAAAATATCGGTCAAAGATTAAAACAGACTTTTTTTTCTATTCAATAAATTATTTATTATTTGATTTGCTAAATGCAGATTCAGTGCAACAATATTTCCTTCACCCAAACATTGTTAGACACATCTAGAACAAGAATCATGTGATTGCATATTAAATAACACATTTTAGAGTTTTCTTTTTTATACATTACCTATTTTATCAACATTTTAAACATACTATAATACAACTACAGAATACTATAATTGAAAAAAAAATTAATAATAATAATAATTTAAGACACACTTCTGTTCTTCTTATACTAATATGCACACAATACTGGAAGTATCAAAATCATAAAGGTGCTTAAGATAGCAATTTGGACCCTTGAAATGATACTGCCTCAATGACAACTTGTGTGCCTTTATTTCTGAGAGTGTTGGACATCTCTGATTTAAATTATTACTGAACGGAGAAAAACCCAATTTTGTGAAATAAAAAAAAAACTTTTGAACAGATAAATTAAAAAACAGTAATTAAAGAGACACAAAAAGGGGTCTATTATACTTCCACTTAAAAAAAATGAAGATTTGCATTTAAATTTACACTAAGAACTAAAACTGTTCTCCTAACAGAAGAATCACTCAAAACGAAGTTTGACTCAAAGTAATAATTGTCAGCACTGAACAAAAAATATTCCCATTATTTTTTATGGTAATAGCCTGAGGCAATTCAAAAGTACATCTTTATCTCCACTTGTCATACTTTCTCACCTATTTTGTTCTAATACAGCTGGTAATTTGAAAAAAAAAAAAGTATTATTAAAGCATGTCTTTTAAATGTCATTTCAATAATACTAAACTCTAATGTGTACAAATCAGAATCTGCATATTGTTCAAAATAGAAAACTAATGCAAATTGTCACATTTTGTTGATTCATCAACCATTGACCCGATGACCTGACATGACCAATCACATAGCCTGACCTCTTCTTTGGCCCTCTCATTCTTAAATCAATGCATATGTTGAAACTGGACAGAGATAACAAAAAATTTATTGATAATCATAAATGGCTTTAGCTATGCAGCTTGACCTATATTGACTAATAGTGCCGCGGCATACTTTTGGTTAACAATCAGCTGCATACCAGGAAGAAGCTTTCATTGTAGAAAATCTATAGGTGGAGGTGACAGCCAGAAAGGTGTCTTTAGAAAAAAGCGAAGGTCCAGGTTGGGGGTGCTACTGAAAATAGAGCTCTTGTCGTGGGTGGAAGAAGTGGGGGAGGGGAAAATCCAGAGGCTCAGAGCCAGATGGTCATTGATATATTGAGGTGGCCCAGTTACAGTATGCTTTAGCATCTCTGGAACATGAGGACACACTGTACTTTAGTTTTACGTTTTGTCTTGGGGTATTAAACAAGAATGATGATGATGTATAGTATGTGACACTTGGACTCATCCCTTATTAGAAACACCGTTGCTCAAATACTCCTGAGACTCCTGATTAAGCATGGAGACACATTTTTAGTGGGTTGAATAAAAGCTGGTGGTTGTGCTTTTTTTTTTTTTTTTTCAACAATCATAAAATCATCATTTGGTCTTTACAACTCCAAGGCCCAGAAAATTGCATTGCACAGTTTATTGATACATTTAATGATGCCATCCATCAGTGATAGTCTTCATATCTTACATCTGACTTCACATCATAGAGGAACAATGAAGTATACAGTGCTCAGAATTTTTTTGGTTTAGTCCTTTTATTAAAATGGGGTCGGCACAGCGGATTAAATATGTGGAATAAATATGTTTTACGCAGTTGATGCCCTTCCAGCCGCAACCCATCACTGGGAAAACATCCATTCACACTCAATCACACACATACATTATGGACAATTTAGCTTACCCAATTCACCTATAGGTTATGTCTTTGGACTTGTGGGGGAATCCGGAGCAACCGGAGAGATTTACAAAATTATTAAAAAAATAATTGGAAGGCTTTTGCTTTGTTCCCAAAGGTATACCTTCAATATTGTACATTGGAACAGTGTCGTGATCATAATAAAGAATGTGTATTGAATTTTTGTATATACTTGGCCAAAAATGTATAATTTTTTTATTATGGTCAACTGCTCCGATACCTTCAGTCAAAATGTAGTGCAATATGTCAGGCAACCAGACTTCTACTACTGGAAAAATTATGGTTTACATCAATAATCTGAGGGGTTCTGGCTTCTGGATTATTCTTGAGGGTACATAGTGACTATGTCTTTCTACATTTATTTTATAATCTCCTTTTATTTTGGTCTTTGCTTAGAACATTAGTTAGGATGTCTAACAAAAACTGCTGCACTTGTTATGGGTTAATAGTACCACTATTGTCCTGCAAAAAAAAATAGCATTGCTTATTTATTGGCTTGCAACAATGTTAAATTTGTATTTTTTAAATTTATTTTTTAACAAAAGATATTCTATAGTTTGGCTAAGACTTTAAAAGGCAGTGCTTTTCGATCAGATTGTAATTATTTCTCTTTTTTCCCCCCAGTCTGTTCTCAGTTCTCAAGGGGAGTTTATGCTATCTTTGGATTTTACGACAAGAAGTCAGTGAACACAATAACGTCGTTCTGTGGGACACTTCACGTCTCCTTCATCACGCCCAGCTTTCCCCTGGATGGAAATCAGCAGTTTATTATTCAGATGCGACCAGACATCAAAGGGCCTCTCCTGAGTCTCATCGAGTACTACAAATGGGACAAGTTTGCCTACCTGTATGACAGTGACCGAGGTAAAGCACCGAACTGCATTATTCATCACCATATGAACATGAAATACACGGGTTGATGAAAAAAACATTATAGATTTACTTCTTAATAGGACTTAATTAGTGTCTTGCCAGTAGGACGGCTTTCAGATGCATGAATCAGATGATTTGTCATTAAGCCTAATCATCACATATGGATTAAATTGCCCTTATTTATCATTTTTACATAGTGTGTATCACAGTTGTTTGTGCAGGTCTGCAGGTTTTTAATCAATAAATGTATTCTTTCAAAAAAAGAGCCAATGATCTAATTAACAATGATCTAAAATGGTGTAATCAGTGATTGTAGTCTCACTGCATACAGTACATGAACATAGTTATATTTTGCAAATGTAAATCATTTCCATCTTTGGTGTTATTTGGATGCAACAATGTCTGCTTTGATATCAAACACTGTAGTTGAGGCCTGTAAAAGTTTGGTTTGTATTGTCAGGATTAGGGCTAATGCTTGCATTGCTTCACCATCTGCACTGTGCATATCAAGTGCTGAGGATGTCTCCCGGTCTGAAATTGAAAAACGGTTCAGTTTCTGACAAATGCTGTAAGTGGTAGACTAATGGCACCAGATTGGGGGAGCTGACCAATCAGAGGACAGTAGGTTCTCATAACGGCAGAGTTTTAGAGAGATCCTTGAACAAACTGATTCAGACACTGTGAGAAAAAAAAACTGATGCTGTATGCATTATGAGAAACTTAAAGGCCCCGTGAGGTGCTTTGAAACTTGGATTTTTATTCAGTGTTTGACGTAATTTCAACTAAAACATGAAATATCCATTCCCCTTAAAATAACAGCCAAAGGCATTTCGTTTTTATCAGCTGAGCCAGTGAGAGTGGTTGAGTTCAAGTGCATTAAATGCAAAGCAACTGACATGAGTCTTGAAGGGGGCGGGACAAGTCAGATACAACAGAGCATTTGATTGGTCAGAAAATTTGATGAGAAACTGAAGTATGAGTTGATGTAAAAAATGTTGATCCATTTAGGTGGAAGTGACAAACTTCAAATATTGCATGTTTATTTCTTCTAAATGCAAATTTTGTCACTGTTTTGGAGTACACTAGCTTATAGATATCCTTATCACTGTAAAAAAGCTAGGTTTAACACACAATTCCTTCATGTAATCCCAAAACAAATCAGTTAAGTTAAACAAATTTTTTTTTTTACAAATTTAAATGGACTGAACATAAAATATTTAAGCTAACCCCCCAAAAAAAACTCATTGTGTGTGTTGATTCAGCTCATTTTAAATACGCAGTTAGAACAAGCAGCAAAAAAAAATCACGTTTTGAGTACATACTGACACCTAAAAAAACTTTATTTAATTTTCACAAGGACTTTAAAGGGTTTTTGACCATGAATAAATGTTATCCTATACTGGAAAACATCCAAAAGAATACCAGGAATCTTTAAAACACTGTTATGGGCCACTTTAAGACAGTTTACTTTAATTAAATATGAGTAAAGTGTCTTTATTGCTTAGATTTAAAGCTCTGTTTCCATTTGGTCTTTACTTGCATTGTCAGTGAGTCAATCTCAAATAGTCAGTCCAGTAGCATACGTTTCACTTAGTATTAATGTGCATTTAAATGCGTCTCCTCTCCTGTGACCACTGTGTTTGGATTTCATACAAACTTTTCTCTTTTACTTTGTCACTTTTGCCAGAGCACTCAATACAGCACATGAATACTGTTGAATAAACCCTTGTTAGTCTGTATTCAAACAGATAGAAAATAAAGTGAATAAACAGGACATGCACGGCAACTATGATTTTAAACATAGTCCATGTTAATACAATGCAGTAAAGAATGAGTACCTTGTTTTCATAACACATCCTATAACCATCTTTGTAGGTGGACTTTTGTTGCTGTTTGAATGCATTTGACCACATGCCCTTTTACATTGCAAAGGCAATACTATCACCTGCATGTTCAATGTCCTCTAGACATGCCAAAAGTGGAAAAACAGCTGAAAAACCTGCAGACATTTATATTCAGTGTAATCCATTTTAATCCGTTTGACCAAACACATCTCAATAACAGGTATAAACAAGGTCCAAAGTTGGTACATAGGGTTCATTTTCCCTGACCTTTCATTTAAATGGAGAGAATATGGTATAACCTTATAGATTTTATACAGTAGTATGATGCTATACGTCCGCAATAGGTAATAATGTGACCCTGGACCACAAAATCATACAGGATTTTTGCATAACCTAAAAGTTGAATAAATAAATGTCCAATTTATTTATGGTTTATTGGGAAAGGAAAATATTTGGCCAAGATATAACTGTTTGAAAATTTGGAATTTGAGTTTTGAATTTCAGTATGAAATTTACACAAAAAACCTTAATTGAACATGATCTTTATTTAATATTATAAATATATTTGCCATAAAAAAATATTTTGACCTGTACAATGCATCTTTGCCTATTGCCAAATACACTACCTGACAAAAGTCTTGTCATTGATCCGAGTTATAAGTGCAACAAATAATAACTTGACTTCTAGTTGATCATTTGAAAAAGTGACATAAGGTCGATTTTTCTAATGAATCATCTGTTGATCTGCATCAGAATCATCACAGATACTTCAGAAGACCTATTGGAACCCGCATGGACCCAGGATTCTCACAGAAATCAGTCAAGTTTAGAAAAAATCATGGTTTGGGGTTAAATTAGGTGGGGGGTTGGAGGGGCTGCAAGAGATCTGCAGAGTGGATAGCAACATCAACAGCCTGAGGAAAGGAAAGGCAAAGTCTTCAGTAGGATAGCGCTCCTTCTCATACTTCAGCCTCCACATCAAAGAGGACTTTGCCTTTTATATAAGCCACTTCTGATTCTAAATGATCAACTAGAAGTCAAGATATTATTTGTTGTACCTAAAACTTGGATAGGCGACAAGACTTTAGTCAGCTAGTGTATATACTAAAGCAACATAAAACTGGTTTTGTGGTAGCAAAATGGCTGTTGTATTTAGAATATTCATACATATTTTAAGGATATTAAGATACTATACTGTAGCTTGTCAGAAGGCATCAAAGCAATCAAAGGTCTGTTTTTCTGGATTGAGCAGGGTTTACAGCATTTTTAAAGGTTTGTTTTGTGTTTGTTGGCCTTCGTTTCAAAGCCTCAAGATCGTCTGTCTCTTTTTTTTCTTTTTCTTTCTCCATTTCTTTTTTCACCCTCTCGTTCGCACATTCTTTGACAGTTGTGAAGGTTGATCGCTTTGTGGCATAAATGACAATGGTTGACGCATCTCTTTGAGGACTGTGGTGTCATAAACATCTGTGTGTTTCATCAGATGCAAGGTTGCAACATAATTTTTCTGTGATGAAGATCAGCATGCACATGAGCCATTTATCATTTATGAATATCAATTATGCACCCATAATCCAATGCTCCCCCCCAAAAAAATGTTTTTTTTTTGTGTGTGCATTTGCTTGTTTGCTTTCATTGTGGGCTGAATCTGCATTATTTATTTCAGATTCATGTGGTTTTGTGTGGGATGTAAACGTGTGTCAAGGTGCATATTTTATTACCTGTCATACTAATTAGGTCAGTTGGCGCTGTATTTCCATGGCAACCATTGTGCTGTGTGTGTTATTAATGTGTCATGGTTACAGTGTGAGAGCAGCAGCACAGCGCCTGTGGTCATGACGGATTCCACTGGTGAGAGCTGACGTAGACGCAAACTTAACGTCACTTCCAGCATTTCACTCCTCTGTTTGAGTACATAATAGCATGTGTGAAGCATCTTTTAAGATAGATAGCAAATATTTTTAGATGACTTGAATGCTAAAGTATTTAAAAAACAAAAAGGATAATGAGAACATACATTTACTAGTTTTATACAACATTAAGTCATTTCAAAATGGTGGTGTGTTTTTTTTTAAACTATTATTTGTGACTGATACAGTTTTAGTAATTAAGCTAAGCTACCTTACCTTACTTACACTTGAGTTTACAGAGTGTTTGTTGACTAACAGTTTAAAAAAACAATAAAAGGAAAACAAAATAATAATATAGATTTTAAATCCATTAGTTAAATAAAATTAATATTAACATTTTCAGTTATGACTTTCAATTAACAAAATAATTTTATTTGTATTTATTTTGTCTTTTGTTATATAAATGTTATTTCTGTGTTTTTTTCATCATTTAATGCATCCTTGCTAAATAAAGATGTTAATGTAATACATATACTCACTGGTGACTTTATTAGGTACACCTTACTACCAGGTTGAACCCCCTTTTCCTTTTAGAACTGCCTTAATTCTTCATGGGATAGATTTAACAAGATACTGGAAATATTCCTCAGAGATTTTGGTCCATATTGACATGATAGCATCACACAGTTGCTGCAGATTTGTCAGCTGCACATCCATGATGTGAATCTCCCGTTTCACCACACCCCAAAGGTGCTCTGTTGAATTGAGATATGGAGACTGTGGAGGCCATTTGAGTGCAGTGAACTCATTGTCATGTTCAAGTAAGCAGTCTGAGATGATTCGCGCTTTATGACAGTGTGTTATCCTGCTGGAAGAAGCCATCAGAAGATGGGTACACTGTGGTCATAAAGGGATTTACATGGTCAGCAACAATACTCAGGTAGGCTGTGGCGTTGACACAATGCTCAATTGGTACTAATGAGCCCAAAGTGTGCCAAGAAAATATCCCCCACACCATTGCATCACCACCACCAGCCTGAACCATTGATTCAAGGCTGGATGGATCCTACCGGATGACCCTACCATCTGAATGGCGCAGCAAAAATTGAGACTCAGACCAGGCAATGCTTTCCAATTTTCTATTGTCCAAGTTTGAGTCTATGCAAATTGTAGCCATTCTCTGTAAACCCTAGAGATGGTTGTGTGTGAAAATTCCAGTAAATCAGCAGTTTCTGAAATACTAAGACCAGCTAGTCTGGCACCAACAACCATGCCAACACAAAAGTCACTTAAATCACCT